GCAGTGTTCATTTCCAGGCAGTCATCCATGGCATCTTCTGTTTTCTTTTTCATCAGTGGTTTCTCTCTATTAGACTCAAGTCTATACGATCATTCTCTTTAGTGGTTTTTCCTCACCTTCTCTGTACTAATATCCATTTTTGAAATCCTGCAGTTGTGATGATTCCACTAATTGCTTTATTCGTCTGAACTTGTTGCTTGTTGGGCTCTCGAGTTGTGTCTTAATTGTTATCAGACTGTCATCAGGTCTATATTCCCCCAAAGCAAGGACTTGCTTGCATCCTTAGCATGCATATAACACTTTCTGTCTACTCACATCAGTTTTCCTAAGAAGTATGTCTTAGTTAAATTGCAGATTTAATTACAAATGAATACTTAGGTCTCTTCTTGATTGTTTCCCCTTCTTCTTTTATTAATAGACAGAAATCTGAAGCATTTGAGTCAGTGAGTCAGTTCATAACTTATTTCCTTTCTATGATGTTGTTATGAATAACTTTATCCTTCTTACTTTATGGGTCTTTACCCAGATTATTACACTTCCCAGCCGGTCACAGCTGAAGCCTCCCTTGTATAAAGCTTGTGAATGGCATGCAAAGATGTTGTAACCCCTTTTTCACGACGTGGAATCCATCCTCTGTCAATGGCTCATGGAGCATCTTCCTAAAGCCAAGGAAACTAAAGCCCTCCTGGTGAACCATCTGTGCAACCATACTTTCATCTGCAGGATGAATCTGTCCTGGCCTGATCCTTTGACCCTTGATGGAGGGATTAATGAAAATACCATCTGAGCCTCTGACTCTCTCACCCTTGCTCTGAGGCTCGTTGTCACTTTTGATGTGTTTAGAGGCATTCTTGGTGGTATCGTCAGCATTCAGGCCCTTTGTTATATCACTTCTACTTCAGTAGCGTGTGCTATTGAATAGCCATTTGGAGGGACTACTAGAGGATTTTCAAAAGTCCTCCTTAAGAATTTGCCATTAGTCTTTGTTCAAATAATCATCTGTCCTTGGGTATACTGCAAAATCTTTTTTTACATGCAAA